TCATTATCAAATTTACTATTTTCTAAGTAAGTCAACAAAGACAAACCAATAAACTAGACTATAAACAAGCAGGTTGGCTACGCACAAGAAACTAGAACGTTGACTGCATATGAGGGGGGAGGGGGGGTGTTCATCTGTTTATTTCTGCCTGACTGATTTTTGTTTGTTAGTGATTTTAATTTCAAAAGAAATAACTCGGAAAGAGCTAAATACATGAATATTCACAAGCGTTTTAGTTTCGGTCCTGTCTATAACGGTGAATTTTCTGTCTCTTTTTAACTGCATGTTTTTTCTCTTGGCAATCGGTAACGCTGTTTTTTTATGATTTTTCTGTCTTGAACATTTTTCTAAAAATTCTGATTAATAAAATCGCCCTCTTTGTCTTTAAACGATTTTTAATAGTTTCTGCTGTTATGTTATAACTAAGGTTTCTTTGCTGATATTATTCCTCCTTGGTTGTGTGCTTTGATTTTTGCGCCGCTGTTCTCTTCCACTATGCTTAAATCACTGCACCCAAGCTAAAGTTGTACACTCTGTTGTACATGCAGAAAGTCAAACAATTTCCTATTCTTTGAGGATATCAGTGATCCTTCTTCTGATATTGGAAAACCATTTCTATCACTACTTAATTTAAATGTTTACTTGTTATCTTCTTGTAAAATATTTCGTAAGTTGTCTTTGCCTGCAGAATAAATTAAGCTCATTAAGCCGCGCTGTATTTCGCTTCTATTGAAATGGTATTTGATCTCCATGTGCGTTTAGACCTTTTTGTGAAAAGGTTCGTCCTTTAAATTGTTAATTTTATCGGTCCCTGGTTATTCTCGTTGATTTTTGCGCTTCTGTTTTCTTCCACTATGCCTAAATTGCAACATAATTGTTATAAAAATTTACGCTCTGCTTCACAAATAGAAAGTAAAACCATTAAAATCTTTCAACAAGGCCCCATCTACAAACCTAAAGTATACGTAATGGTGTGCGAGTGATTGCCTAAGCCTTTTCCCGGTCAAGTAAATTATTTGATGTGTCATTCCAGTTTCTGCCGCTTTGTTGGAGACCATACAATGGCTTACACTGTTTTTCCTTTGTAAACGAACTTTTCTCCGTTCTTGGTCCTATAATCTAAATAACCCCTGACTTGCTCAAAGTAAACATCCCTGTCAACTGAAAATGCCGACCACAGTATCGATATCTTGACAGAAGGTCAACTCGTGTCGAAACCTTTGATGTTCTTGTCCCCTCACTTCTGAAGCAATTTCTAAGAAGACGCCCCTACCAGGAAGATACTTCCGCTAGATCGCAATAGAAAATATAGATGTTTATACAAATATATTGCTTTGCACTACAAAAGCTTGGAACCTTATCTTATTGGAAAGATGATAACTCTTTGTAAAAATTGATAACTCATGGTAATCACCAAGACTAATTCGGTTGATCCGCCTCTGAATAAGAATTTGCTACGTTATTTAATCTATAACATTAATCAAATGAACACTTACTGGTGCTAGCAGTTATGCTATGCTGGCTGGCTTATCTTCGACTTGAGATGGGTACCTTCCTGCATTTTTAACTTGATCGTAAAAAATTTCCCTCCAATTTTTTAGTTTCTTGCTCTGAATTGAAGCAGGTTTATAGTACAAAGTGATGGGCATATTTCATTATCCGTTTTACTTTTGTCAATCACAAATTTATCGACTCCATCAAAAATTTTACCTTACTCGCTTTATTTTCGAGGTTTCTCATTGATATACTAGGTAAGCTGGACTCCTCTTATCACATGTCACAAAAATGCCTCTTTTACCTCCTGTCTCGAGCTTCTTGGGATTCAGTACGTATAAGCAAAAACACACTGAACCGAACCATGCATTTTACTAAGATTAGACTTGAATCTCGTTAGATCCTCCCCTGCAATTATTTCAAACCTATTATTGCTACATCTGTTTTCAATATATGCAGATGCCATTACAGCATAAGTTTACAAGAACTAAACTTTGGTAAATTTGATTCTACTGGTAACCATCTGGCCATATTGAATAAATTCAACAAGTCTCTCTCTTCCATCCCATTTTGGTAAGGCGACTAACTCTTAATGAGCAATGTCTCCTGCTTGATTAGAATAATACTTAAAAGAAATTTGAACTCATATCCTGCAAAATCTCCTAAATTATCACTTTTGATAAATTTTAGTTTTACTTTGGTTGCAATTTCAGCAAGAAATTCAATAAACATCTCTTGACATTATATATTCGAACAAAAGAATATTTAGCTACATAAAACCACGGTTGTTAACTATCTCATTTCACAACTAAATCTGGGCTAGAACTCGAAATGTCAAAACAAAACCGCAATGAAATGAAAACATTGACTCAATACAAAAATTACGAAATATTCCGGCAGGACCTCCACAAATCAGCTCAAAAAATTAAACAAACTCATTTTAATACATTACATTCACTTGATTTTTTCCTATTTAATCTTGATGAACAGTAATCAATAGAGGTTTAGAAAGGCATTAAACTTGAAGAAATCTTTTCTTAATGTTAAGACATATAAAAATGCAGATCCAGGTGCGAAATGATGCGTAATTATTTTCAAATAATACCTGTCTCAGTAACTTGTTGCAAAAAAATCAAAGTGATTTGATTTCATGGAACATTCCACAAAAACAAAAAAAATTTCTGTGATATTTTTCAGGGTAAATTACACACAATAAAAGTTCTCTTTATTGTATATCCTTTCTCCACTTCGTGTTATATTGAAACAGAGTAGAAAAAATTTGACATTTTAATGCTTTTATCTCAGGTAACTTAATTATTAGGGTAAGGTATTTTGAAAAATGAGGTAGAGAATACTTGATTACAAAAACATTTATTTATTGTTTTTCTTGAAAATTTTTAAGATCCCATTTTGAACTTCTACGAATTTTTCATCATCAACAACACCTCACAAAAAGAAGCAAACATAATTTTAAGTACTCTTCCTCAATGTAAGAGAGAATAAAAAGGATAGAAAAAGAGTTAGAAAAGGATACAAATCGACGCAACTTATCATGTAACTTAATGTAGCTTTAGTACTTTCATCAAAAGCATTATGGCGAAACAAACTTTGCACTTCAATTTATTTGACTATTGTTTTAGCCTGTGCTCAGGCATATACCATCTAATTTAGTATAGGCAAGATAACACTTCTAGGAAGTTATGTAGATATGTGTGTAACACACCGTCGTTGACGCTAGGTCGTTAATACTCAGCGGCCTGTTTGCCAGGTTACCAAGCGTAGTCGTTCTAACACATTGAACTAAAATACATGGAACGCTACCCAAAGCTAATAATTAAAGCCAAAAGCCCAAATCTTACACCAGATACGCGAGATTTTACCCAAGACACGCGTGCTTAGTGTTTTGAGACTCCTGCGTGGAGTAATAATTGATTGATTTCACAAGCGTGTCTGGGGTAAAATCTCGCGTTTCTTGGGTAAAATCACGGCTTCAAAAAATTATTAAGGTTTTGCATTACAAGTAGCATTCCATGTATTTTAGTTAAATGTTATAACACCATCTGCAATCATGTCGCTATGTCGTTATGTTGTTGAGCTGTAAGGACCTAACGACGAAGATTACAAAGGTTTAATCGAATTATAAATGTTCTTTCTAAAAAAAAGCGTCAAGAAATTCGTTAAACCTTTTTCTTAGGCATAATGAAATGAAAATGTCTCATGTTCTGATGTAGGATAGTAAATGTATTCTATTGTAAACAGATTCTGTTCAAACCATTGACGTTTTAGCATTTCGTAAATATTTTGTCTAATAAAGCAAGGATGTTATTTACAAATGAAGTAATTCGTAAACAAGTTAATAAATAAAAGATATTTACTGCATGTTTTTGCACAGGCTTATGCAAATCGAGGAGACCTTTGGGAGAACTCGAGAGCAGATCAGTGCAAGCCCGAGACCGAAGGTCGAGGGTTACACATGCTCAATAGTTCTCACAAGCGTCTCCAAGATTTGCATTAGCCAGTGCAAACACGAAAAACATCTTTTATTTTTTAAAAAAAATAACAATAATGTGATAGAAAAACACCGTTATAATATTCTTTTAACGTGTAGTGATGATTAATTTGCAAATTCTCTTTAATTGATTGATTGATTTGATTGGTTGAGCTCAAATCGTTTTTCCCAGACTAATGCAAACACAGGTCTAGACCAATCAGCGCTCGTGTTTCATTGTGTTTATTTTATAATATGAAATAATGTCAAGCAAACGATACTTTAACGTTACATAACAGTAGATTTTCTGAATTACTAAAACCTTCTGAGGGATACCGCACTGATCTAGTTATGATTCTTCACTGATATATGTCATGAGAAAGATTAACACTTCATTTTAGCTGTAGTCTGTACTAAGGAAAAATTCAAAAAAATGAAATGTTTTCACTATTAATTTATAATTTGCAATCATTGTACAATCATAAGCATTGAAATTGAAGAAATGGTACTTTATGCTGTGCTTGATGTTTGATAAATCATAAATGATTAGAAACATAATAATTCATGAATGCAATATCTGACGTCATTTTCTAAAATCGTCATCCATTTTGAGAGAGACAAAATGATTCTTAATTTTTATTTCGATATCATACTCCAGACATTTCTGATTCCTACAAGGCATCAATTTATTGGTAAATTAACCAAAGGATTAACAGGTCCCAAAAGAAAAACTAAATGTCAAGATTTACAATAGATTGATTTTTCAAGATTTCTTTTAATTACAAAGTATGTCGAGGTTTGCCTCTCCTTTGGAAACACATGATAAAAGATTTTATTAATTTTATTTTAATGCAATCGCGGTCATCTCTGGTTGGCGGGCAGTACAAGTGGCGTGATAGGTAGCAATCACCAGCATTGTCTTGCGGAATCCACGCAATAACTTTATGCAACTTCAAAAGAAAATCTTACGGCTTGATTTGTCAATTGTCAACGATAATGTAATTCAGTAAATCATTTCATTTGTCAATAATATTTTATTCTTAGCAGCAATAAAACTTCATCATTTTACTTTTTTTTATAGATTATGATAATATGTGCATTTACTTTATATGATAATATGGTTGATTACAACTTGTTTACACGTAGTTTTGTATTACAGATACATTTCAACAATAAATAAAAATGTCAAACACACAGCATTTTCTACATAAGCTTTTAAATTTTCCACGACACATTTTACGAAAAGCATCTTTGACTAAAATTAGGTTTTTAGAGTATTTCTTTGACATGATTCCCCATCACTAGGATCTTTCCTCATCCTATAAAATTTTATAAAATTTAACTCTCAGAAAAGCGATTACCTGCTTTCAGTATATATGAAGGAATATAGGAAAACCCTATCCATGATCTGAACAGGAAGAAAATCCGCAAATTTTGGACAGTTTTAAATTTTGTCTGTGATTACTACTTGTGTTTGCAAAGTCTTATACCATAATCAAATCAAAACAGTTTCATCCATTGTCATAATCATAGTATTGTTCCTTGGTAGCAATAGAAAGATGAAGCACGTCAGTTTTTGCAATGAAAAGTAAAAAGAACAATACAATACACTACAAAAAACTAATGCATCATCTTTCTTTCTGTGTGCAAGAAGTAGTATGCATGCAACATGATAATACAAGCAATGTTCAAAGAGAATACCAATCTGGTAAACAATCATTTGCAATTGGGTAGTATGATTTAATAACGCAGGATGTAACAGATACCAATGAGAGCATACACATCATTCATAAGTCCATAAAACAGTGTGCATTGTTCTTAGCTTCTCCCAAAGCTGCTGCAATATGGCTGTGCTATTCACATACTGAAAGGGAAGTATCATACAAATACAAAGCAAATGCATTTTGAAAACATGTAAATGCCCCATCCTTATGCTTTTGGTGAGCATAATATTCAGCATTCTAAAAAATTCAATGCTGGTAAGGTAACACAGATGGAGTGATAAACTTTTATCCCCTACCAGTGAAATTGAGCATGCATTGTACACACAGTTCCCATCAGCCAGTGTATTAAACATAGAGAAATATTTGTAATAATCAAAGAATGAAAGTGATAACTACCAAATTTAAATTTACTTTCAAGCTTCATAAGTATGATAAGAATACTTGGTGTATATTATAAACACATATTTTGATAAATCATAGAAAAGGTCATGAACAAGGTGTTTTCAGTGGAGCTGGTTGATGATGTTTGTATAAAAACCCAAATAATGTAAAATAGTTGGTAGATTTCCTGCACAGTCGAGTGTCAAAACAATATAGGCAGTATATCATAGCACTTTGATGTCACATGAAAACATAGTGAAACCATATGTATAAAATAACACAAACACCAATTACTAACACATATTTCATAACATCTATAATCATAAATAATTTTACTTTATTGGTATACGATTTCCTTTGTAAGGTTAATGGTCAGGCTTCTTAGGTATATCATAGTTTGAAAACCCTGTAAAACACACAATTAATCATTTCATCGTGCATTATTCAATTTTTTGCTAGACCAAGAAATGCATAATATAGTTAGCTAGAATCATGAATATACTATCATCATGTATCCTAGCCTAAAACAATAGAAGACTCATAAATTTTTTAACATGAAATAATTAAGAAAAGGAGCCTTTGATTTTGATCGTTAGGAAACTGTAGTTTTCAAAATTCGCACAGCTGCACTGTAATCTGTTTACAATCACCTACACGATTTCGTCTCTCAGAAATTGCTTTTTCGCATTGTTCTCGAAGCAATATTAATTCACTAGTGAAGTGATATCCTTCGAGTTATAATGCTAAAAAAGGTCAATGACTTTCGATAAAGCAATGGAATCCATGTTTTTAACCGGAATTGTCGAGTATATTATCCAAATATAAACTGACAGCACGCACGGCACACGTAAGTGGATATTAGGCTTAAGTAAGTTTTAATTCAGTCGAATTACTATGAAATTGCGCAATAAATATTGCGCAACCGTGGCCAACTGTGATCTGCCACAATCAGTTGATCAAAATTGTGAGCTTTAATTGGTTGGACACTATTTAGTATAACGTCACTGTAGCCAAAAATGCCGAAATTGCGCAAGAAAGCGCTCACTGACCATGTCTAATGGTAAGATTTGCGGTCGCCTTTTTAATCGCAACAGTAGTATACAGAGCGTTGCCGCTGGCGCACTTCACCTTGAGAAAGCGTTGCCGATGGCGCACTTCACCTTGAGAAAGCGTCGTTTCTAGCGCACCTCACAGTTTGAGAAGGAGTATACACAAATCTAAGCGCCCAAGCCCTAGCTCGCTTACGTACTTCTTGTAATTATACTAGAATAATTACAGCGAAGGTCAAACCCAGGACAACGGCGGGAACCAAAGACGGCGCGGCCGGCCGTCGGGGGTCTATTATCTAGAGAGATATTCTCTCATAGAGTAATCTAAACGTTCGACAGCCACGAGGCAGGCAAGAACAAGTGTGCGTGGTTTCTACACGGAAAGATCACCATATGTGGACGAAGCTCCATAGATGAATACTGTGGACTTCATATGAAGTGATTAAGGGAAGGAATGAGTAATTACTAGAATAATTACAGCGAAGGTCAAACCCAGGACAACGGCAGGAGCCAAAGACGGCCGGCCCACCTCCCGCGCCCCTGCGGCCGGCCGTCGGGGTCTATCATTTAGAAGAAGCGTATAATAGGGTACGTGGTAAGATGAATAGTGAATCCAAAAAAGTACGTATGAAAAGACAAGAGCAAAAATAAAGAAGAGAAAGAGAGAAAAAATTGAATAATATAATAATAAGACAAAGAGAAGAACATCTTAAATTACAAACCAGGCTGCTAATACAAACAGGTACGATACAACTAGAAGAATAATATTTATATATTATATAGAATCGAGATGGACACTGTTAGAGAGATTCTGCAACTATATAAACAGGGTGTTATGAGTGGAAGAGCTCAAACTCATTCCTTGAACTTTTTCTACCACTAGCATCTACATCAAGAAAGCGTACCTAAACCTCCTTCGGTACCCTGTAAGCGCAGACCTATTAAGCCTAATGACGTAATAGAAAATAGACCCCTTGTTATAACAAATTCTGTAGGTTGGGAAGCTACGTATGGAAATATGAGCGACCCAGCGTTAATACGCTATAACGCACTTCAGTTTCTAAGTGCAATTCCTCCAAAAACTAAAACTCCGACATCTCCAGCGGCCGGTTCACTCCCTTTGCCAAACGTGATGTGTTCATATTCAGTTCTAGACAATGAAGGAAAGCCTTCGGAATCATCTAGCGCTTCGTGTAGCAAATCTTCGTCAAACACCGTTGAATATTCGGGTATTATACTTTCTATAGTGAGTGTGATAATTACTCTAGCAGTTCCCATCTGTTGAACAACTAATGTTGCATCAGTAGGTAAGTCTACATCTATAAATCGCTATAGCAACATTCAGAGTTAATATCACCAACACGATGTGTTTTTTTTTCATTTAATACAAGTAATTTGCTAGGAGTTTGAAGTACTCGTAGCGTTCCTGCACTTGTAAAACATTTTCCACTTAATGATATTCGGTATAATCCAGCGGTTTCGATGGTGATTGTAGAAGAATCTTCTTCACCTTTTTCACACATTGCGACATTGGTCCAATCTGAACCTGTTTTTCCAGTGACTGATGTACCAACTTGAGTGTACACATCTACTGCAATTTCTAGTCGCTTTTTGTGTTTTTCACGTCTTCTATGATGCTTTAATCGACAGGAGTGCTAGTTTTTTGCCGGACTTAGCAAAGCTTTGAGAGCCTCACGCGTAGGTTTATCTACGTCTGAATAGTTCCCAGAAGATATGACTATATTTTCAGCCCTAGAATTATCTTCTAGTTGAAATTTTCCAAAAGTTTTCTCTCTATTTTGTCGTAAGTATACTTCTACTGCTCGGCGAAAGAGATTGTTTGTTGATTCAAATTCATGAACCGAAGTTTCAGCTGCGTTAGATATTTTAATGTTTGTGTGAGAAGACACAACTGAAGTGATAAACACTATAAATATAAAGGGAAAATTTATTGATTACAATTAAGAATACTCTAAATAGTGTACCTCATATCTTCGCGTCCAGTTAATGGGTATTATACTAACATATGACATCAATTTGTTTGTGGTATCATGTACGAAACTAACATAAGGCCCCAAATTTTGTCCAAACACAGTAGATGTAATGTTGAACCACTCGTTTTGAGATCGTTCAAACGAAATGTTTAATAATGCTATTGTATTATTTCAAGTGTTTTTCCAGTAAGAAACGTTACTAAAGTTACATTTACTCCGCTAATACCTGGGGGGTAAAATCCATTAGGAGAGTTCAAAACAGGTTATTCTCCTTGGTCTCCTTTAAGCCCATCAGCTCCTGTCTGTCCTTGAGGTCCTTGACGTTCTGAAGGCCCCTGAGGCCCTGTGGCTCCAGTATCTCCTTTAGGGCCTTGATGCCCTCGAGGTAACGCGGCCTCTGTAGACCCCGGCTCTCCTCTTGGACCTGTTAGACCTCTAATGCCTTGTTGCCCTTGAGGTCCTTGAGGTCCCTGAGGTCCTTGAGGTCCTTAAGGCCCTTGAGTTCCTGTGCCCACGGGCGCACCATCGCTTCCATTGGTCCCATAAATTCTGTCATCTCCTCTAGGACCCTCATCACCTTTCTCTCCTTTTGGTCCTCGAAGACCCGTATCTCCTCGAGCCCCTGTAGCTCCTGTATTATCTTTTTCTCCCTTTGGTCCTCTAAGAACCGTATCTCCTTGAGCCCCCGCAGCTCCTGTGTCACCTTAACTCCTTTAACTCCTCTTGGGCTTCTAGGCCCTGGTGGTCCTGCTTTTTCAGATCCCTAACCATCATCAGTTCCACCGATTACTAATGTTGCCATTAGTTTGATGCGACGGTTAGTTTGATGCGATGTTTAGTTTGATGCGACGTTTATATACTTACAATTTATATAATAGAAAACTTTTTTCATTAATTACTGGATATATATTTGATCGCGAGAGAAATCTATGACGAGCCTCCAGCCAGACCCGCGATTTATTTGAAAGCTTGAGCTTCACCTTCACGGCGTGCGCTTTCAGCAGCGGCGGCAACAGCTTCTTCTTTTTCAAGCTCTAAGTTCTTATTTGTCTTTTTCATCTCTTTGAGTGGAGAAACTACATCGACAGCCTGTTTCTTACGCATCGGAGCATCGAATTCATCTTGAATAACGCGTTTACGCTCGTTAAAACGCTGCATTTATCTAGAACCTGTTCAAACTCTTCATGTGAGACACGGCTGTCACTGAGAGCACGTGACGTAGGATTACCAACAGTCATCAGAATCGTCGCAGCAGCTTGGGCTATGCGGTCGTGCTATTTAGCCTTTTTATCGAGCTTTTTACAAACAACACGCCCAGCACCTGAGTTCATCTTGCCAGCGACAGCAAGAGCTTCAAGAGCGGCCCCAGCCGGAGCGCCCACACCAGATAGAGTGAGAGCAATACCTCCAGTTCCTGTCACGACTGTAAAGGCACTCGATGCAGCAGATAAGGTGTCGAGTGTCGAATTAATGCGTGTGTATTTCTCACGCAGCTTATGACGAGCGTCACGCTCTTGGCGGAGTTCTTCCTCAATGTTTAAAATGCGAACAAGGCAAAAGTTGCTCGTTTCGATTGATGAACGGGGTAAAAGAATGTCTTCTACCCCTTGGTATTCATATTCACGTTTTAAACCAGGATATATCCGTGGTACTGGCCTAGGAACGTCCACTGGCTCGACTGGAGGTGCGCTTGCAGTTTCCATTTTCTCACAGGATTATATAAAGATGCAGAAAAAATTGGTCTGTTAGTCTGATGTGATATGATTAGTCTGATGTGATATAATATAATATGACGCTCATAAATTTCGACCCACCCACCTCTAAAAAATCAAAGCGCCAAAATTAGATGATGCCCGAAAGCCATTATCTGATCGTAGGCCCTACTAATTCCGGTAAAACGAACCTTTTAATTAACATAATTATGCGTTGGCTTGATTGCCCTTAATCAACTATTTGCACAACAAGTCGCGACCAGGAAAAATATCAGATTCTATCAGTGTTATACGAAAGCATCGGCCTGGAAGATTGTGTTGAATTAAGAGAGCCTGATGATGCAATTCCAGTGGAGGAGTTGGACACTAATCCCGAGACAGTAGTCTTTGACGATATTTGGCTCGATTCAAAAAGCTTAAACCCAATCAAAAGTATTTCTCAGCAAGTTGACATAAAAATGTCACAGCCATATACTTAGCGCAAAACTACTATTACGTCCCCAAGTATATTCGACGAAATACCGGCTGTATTGTGCTTATGAGAGGTCTTCACCAGCGCGACGTCAGAGAAATTGCAGCTGACCACGCTGATGGTATTACAAAAGAGCAGCTAGCGGCGGCTTACCATGAAGCTACCGAAAAGAAGTACGGCTACTTTGTAAACGATCGTACTGCAGAGTAGGTTCCTATTTGCTGTCGGAAGCGTTTTCACGGAATTCTGGTAGCCCCGAAGTGGTAATCCATTCTTTGAAGACATCATTAGACTTATTCTTGTTGGCTCTTTTATATTTTGGAAGATGAGGAGTAATCGCCTTCATTATAGCTTTGATGGTTTCAGCAGGCCAACCCGAGGCGTCGTATTTTTGACAAATCGGAACGAAATTTGCTATGAAGGAGGGGTAATTTAAAGGCTTTCCAGTAGACCAAGAAATATCAGCCGCCATACGGCTAACATGGTTGCATTGAATTTCGTTGAATGGCATTTTGTGTTTAGAGCAGATTTTATACATATACGTTCTTACCTTATTAAAATGAGAGTCACGTGACTTCTCGCGAGGATCTTTAGACGATTTTCTGTATCACGTGACTCTTCATCAGATTCCTCTGTATTAATAACAGGCGCTAGCAGGTAAAATGCGGTTTATTATCTTGAGATTGTGAATCAATGGATGCTAGCGCCAACTGTATTTCAGGTAGATTATAATTTTTCATTACCCTATATTGGTCGTCATTTTTTTGTCCTATTATATAGTAAGATAAAAACATTTAGCTATCTTCATCTATCTTAAATTGAAGTTCAAGTATGTTCAGGTCAATTGCATCTATGGAAGACCGCGAAAAATTAGTCCAAGAGTTTGCAAAAAACCGTGCGTTACTCAAGCGGCGCCAAGTCGATTTTAAAATGTCTCGACAACACGAAGGAGAATTCTTTGAATGGGCGTCTGAACGAATTGTTAATGCTGAAAAATCTGTAGCAGAAGCTATTAACAAAAAACAAGACAAAAAAATTGAAGGGTTCCAAGAAGCCACTCAAGCGGTTGAGGACACTGAACAGCAGCTTGCCCAACGGCTAGATGATCTAGTCCTTTTAACAAAAGACAAACCATCTTGGAAGGCTATAGAGAATTCAAAATTGCTTGATCGGTTGGAGGCTGGTGAGTATATAAACGACGTGGATATTGAAAATCTTGGAAAATCTATCGGCCCGTCAACAAGAAAAACAGCTTCTTCAGCTAACTGAGAGCTAGGGAAAAAAACTTCGAACGTTACAATGTTCTAAAAGAAAAAAGAAGAAGTCGCCCCAAACAACTCTTTAAAACAACACGAACAGGAACTGGAGTGCATTATTATAATAGCCCATCAGAGCTTATCGACCGCCTTCACCTTTCCTGCAAGTCTGTAGAGGCTGGTAATGACTCTCGTGAGTTGAAAAACGATATTGAAGCGATCCTAACAAAACAGATAGAGGAAAGTGCGATATCGAAAAGTTATTAACGAAAAATTAGAAATAAATACGTGCGTTAAAAATTTTCTTCTTTTGTATTATACAGAGCTATTGCTCATTGTCGATATAACCATAATGACTGGAGTATTACAAGACGAAATTGGCATTGAGATGGACTCAACAAGAGCCATTGCGGCGCACGGTGGAGAAGCGGATGACTTTCAAATTCGGCTTTAGGCCACCTATACCTTTAGAGGCTAACAAAAAATATCATGTTGCTCTTATTGAAGCTAGTTTGTGGAATTCGTGGGAAAATGTCACTACAAAAAACAATCAACTTGAGTTTGAGTATAGAAATGGAAACTATGGTGATACTGATGGGGCACAGAGAGGAGAGCTTAAACAGACTTCAATTCAACGGCAAAAAATCACAATACCCCCAGGCGCTTACAACATTCCCGATATCAACCAAGCTATTGAAAATGCTATGGAAGCATTGGGGGTAAAGTTCGCACATGAAGATGAAACCGCAAGACGTGATCCACCCTTTGTGCTTTCAGTAAATATTTCCACATCTAAATCTGAGATTACGATTAAAGGTGACCCTGTAGTTTCCTTTGACAAAGATAACAGCATAGGCCCTATTCTTGGGTTGGCTGTTGGTGGAGATGATATTACTAGAGGAAAGACTTTAAGTCAGAATCGAATTAACATTACAGATGTACAGAAGATCCATATTCACTACTGTTTGTTAATTCAAGTATATTAAACGGGAGTCCTAGTGAAGTTATTAAATCGTTTACTCCAAACCGAGGACCAGGACGTTTGTTGGAAATAAGTCCTAGTCCACCGACCTACTTACCACTTATAAAAACTAGCCTTATTAATAAAGTGAGAATGGAAATCACTGATCAGTCAGGAAATAAGATTGATTTAATTGGGAAGCAAGTAACTTACACTTTAAACATCCGTCCAAAAATGTGATCATACACGCTCATAAACGGATTCCGATTCAGAAGCTGTTGCCATAAGGGTTTATTTTCTATATATAATATACTTGGCAAAATGATATTTCCCATGATTAGACGTGGTATAGTTCGTCGAAAAATTGTCGGGGGGGGTCATTGATTGGAAACCTCGTGGGCCTTGCTGGTAAGGCAAAGTGTACGCTATTCAGTGCGGGGAAGTCCGCAGCTACAGCCTTAGGATCTCGCGTAGGTAAGTTTGTCCGAAAAACAAGAATGTGGGCGTGGCGGCTGGTAAAAAAGCAATTCGTGACACGGTTACAGCAGCCAAAGAGGCTGTTATATCCACTGCAAAAGAGCAGTTATCGCCTGAAAACGTAAGCAGTCTTGTTGCCGATCTCGCCCGCGGAGACGTTAAAGGAGTGGCAAGAAAAGCTAAATCACGTGCATCTGCAGTGGCTCGTGCTGGGGCTGAAGCTGGTATTAGTACTGCCAAAAAGTGCTCGCACTGCTTTAACAAAAGAAGCTAGATCTAAACTTAATGAGCTGGTTGGGACTTCTGAAGCTAGAAAAGCTCTAGTATCGCACGCTGAAATCCTTGCTAAGCAGCAGTTGACTTCCCGAGACTTAGGTATTCTAAGCAACCTCGTGTCAGGTAACGGCATGATGTATGCCTAACTATCCCATCAGACTATATAACACATCAGACTAAATATCAGAAATAATAATTAAACTACATCGGTATGATGATCGGCGGACGCAAGTTTTTTATAATATATATACTGTACGAACTACAAACTATCATAACAATGGCAACGGACATGATATTCCCAGAACTTCGACTGGTTGACCGCTCTGTTGAGCATCTGCAGTATGAAAAACTTCTTTCCCGCGATCCAAGTTTCGATAAAAAGAAAAGCAAAATCGACACTGAGAACGTTGACCAGCTTATATGGCTTCACAGAGACGTTCTTGAAGTTCGAGGTCACGTGGTAAAGAACAATGGCACCAATTATGATGCCGCCGACAATGTCGCTCTGGCAAATGGTGGCTGGAGCCTGTTTGAGACGGTCCAGATCAAGGTTAATAACAAGACCGTTAAAGAAGTAAGTCAGTATGCTTCAACTGTCAACACGATCATGCAGTTCGTAACTGATTCGGATGATTCGTCCAGGAGCACAGTCACGAGTGATTTCTGCTACCGCTACACTGGACCTACTGGTGGGGCTGTTTCTAATAAGCATGTAAACAGAACTAACGCTCAGTTGCTTCCTGCTGCTAATGTAGGTAACGGTGTCGCTTTGAATGGCGGCAACTTCCGGACTAACTTTAACTTGAACCTTAACGCAACAGACAACCCTAACTTCAACATTGGTTTCGCCAGTCGCCGCCAGCTCTGCGCGGGTGCAAAAGACGTTGCCATAATGCTTCCCTTCGCTGACATCATAGGCTTCGCCAAAGACATTGATTCAGCTTTCATATGTATAAAGTTCAATCTCAATCTCACTCGCGCTTCTGCTGAAAACTCGCTTCATAGAGCAAATGGTGTAGATGCTACAAAATTTCAGATAAAATATCTTTTGCTCTGGGTTCCTTTCATCAGACCTTCGATCGAAGTTTAAACCATTATAGAAAGCAAGTTGGTTTCTGGTTGCACACGCATGCTATACTTTGAGCAAGGTCATATTTACCGAGAGAGATTCACCAGAGGTCAAACCACCGTCTCCTGGCGTGTGACAACAAACGGAAGTGAAGAGCTACCAACACACATCTTCGTAGCGTTCCAAGATGCAAAGCGCTCAGACATTCAAGAACAAACTATACATGTGTTTGATAATGCTAATTTGCGTCAGATTCATGTGCGGATTAATAAGAATCACAAGTATCCTGAAGAAGAGCTTGAAGTCAATTACACAGTTGCTGAAAGAAATACAACGGAGCTTACATGAAGTCCTAAGACGCTGCTATGAAATACAGCGACCCGGATACAGGCTCTCAATTAAAATATAGGAGACTTCGTAAACCTCTTTCCTATTTACCACTTTGACGTTAGTCTTCATCCTGAAGCTTTGAAAAAAGCTCGGGCAAACATTGATGTTCGTTGGATCTTAGGTGGCCTTTTTAATAGTGCTATTAATGCTGGTGGTGAACAGGCGTACCACGTGTACTGCTTCGTGCTTAACGAGCGTTTCCTTCGGCTCAATGTGATTAACGGTAAAGTAGACATAATGGTTTAGTCTGTTAGTCTGATGTGATGATTAGTCTCATATGCTCTCTTAAAGGTCCTGATATGCTTATGCTTACTAATACACAGATCAAGCGAATAATGGGTGCAAGATACAAAGGATCTGGAATCGATCTAATATTGTCTAAGACTCAGATTACAGCCATGACGTGCGCGCAAAAACGTGGATTCCTTGGTTCTTTGCTTGCAGGTATAGCTGCTTCCATCGTGGCGCGTGGCGCAGGAAAAATCCTTGGATTAGGAACGTCGGGGGAAGGAGTATTTCTTCCCGGGACGCATTGACGAAGGTGAGGAAGTAGAAGCCGCTATCAAACAAAGATATCACTCGTATAGCAAATGGTAATCTAAAAGCAATAGCTAAATGTTTTAGGGGGGTGTTTTCAAAAGACATGCTTTCTAAAGAGCCTCTTTAAGCTGAAGAAAGTGTTATAATCAATTTACAAGACTTTCTCGATGGAGGAGGGACTCACTGGATTTGCGCCTTTGCTGATGAGTTTTGTGTAGATTACTTTGACAGCTTCGGCCTTCCACCAACTGATGTAGTTGAAAGTGGATGGAGCGGTTAAAACTTGTTGTTTGTTATTCTTGCAACGAGATAGAAGATCGGCGCTCCATTATGTGTGGGTGGTACTGCCTTCTCTTCTTACACGATCGGGTTCACAATCAGTCTGCGATAGATATTCTGTTAGATACCGATTTGCGCCCTTCTGCGCATAACGAGCGTATTGTAAAACGGTTTGCTAGAGAAACTCTAAGAGCGCGCTAATAATTAACATCGCGACGCATTTTTCACATCAGACTAAATTTTTGTGTATTATATAGAGATGGGCCATCGCTTACTGTTTGTACTGTAAGAAACAACAACTTGTTGTCAACGGTGAAATCGAATATACAAAAAAAAACAACCTAGGCTCATGGGGCGCTGC